TTTTTACTCACAACGTTTGAAAACATAAAACAAAATAATTGTGAGCTTTAACCAGTAGCAATCATTCTTTCCTGGCCAATTTCAGCCTGTGTAAACTCGTCTCACTCAGGCCTACTAGAACCCGCCTTTGTAGCCTCAGGACTCCCCCGACTTCACAATAGCTGACCTCTGTCGGTCTCCTTTCTCAGCTCTTTTCCCCAATGTGTCCATTGAAGTTTTAGCAGGAAACAGATGGCACCCTGAAAAGAACTTAGCTGAAATGAATTTCACATGGGGATTATTTACAGAGGTGTAGGCAGGGTTAATGGAACCAACAAGAGGCGAGGAGACACTCAGGGATTAGTCCTTAGTGCTGGAGGTCTCTAGGGATGGGGAGGGCAGGCTGCTCCCAGCCTGGAGAAAGTGCGAACTGGGTAACAGAGGCCACCGTGCTGCAACCTCTTCTGCAACATGGAGAAGAAAAGAGGAAATCACCAAAATCCTTCCCTTGCTCTCCTCCTGCCCTCTGGCTTCAGGTAGAGGGCAAGAAAAAACAAATTCAACAGCCGTGTAGGAGGTTCACCCTTGCAGGCCACAGAGGGTCAGCCTCACAGGCCACAGAGTGTGACAGGAAAGGGCAGAGACCGGATCTAAGAATAAACAGCAGGCCTCTTTGTCTCACTCAGCTTCTGTTCTGGTCCCTCCATTAGCTGGAGAAGCTCAGGTGCCCGACCCAGGGAAAAACACAGCTAGCCTGTTATCCCAGTAGAAGAGTCCAGCCATACTCTTTCCTGGAACCTAAATTATACCATCAGTTACTTCCACGGTGCAAGATGAAGGAACAATTAAGAGTAGAATAAGGTGCCACAGTTGAGCAGATCTCATCTGATCCTGACACCCTTCTTTCACCAACCACTCCAGGATGCCTGGCACTGCCCCGGCTCCTTGGATGTGAAGGTGAGTGTTCTTACTGAGAAAAACAAACCTTCTCTCCCACAGGCTGCAGGTCCTGAGTGGCCCTGCTGGTTATTCTTAGATCTGGTCTCTGCCCTTTCCTGTCACGCTCTGTGGCCTGCGAGGCTGACCCTCCTACACAGCTGTTGAATTTGTTTTGTCTTGCCCTCTACCTGAGGCCAGAGGGCAAGAGGAGAGCAAGGGAAGGATTTTGATGATTTCCTCTTTTCTTTTCCATGTTGCAGAAGAGGTTGTGGCGCGGTGGCCTCTGTTACCCAGTTCCTACTTTCTCCAGGCTGGGAGCAGCCTGATATCTCCGGGGTTACATCTTTGTCACCATCTCCTCAGGTTACATCTTGTCAAGGAGCTGCTGTTTCCCCAGTGCACATTACTATTGTACACATGAGTCCCATGAGTGGGATGGGCTCCAGGTGTAGGGCTGGTCTCATTCTTTAGCAATAACATTAATGTCTCCCTGCAAATTAAAATCAATCACATGGGTCCATACAGACGCCCGTGTCTCTGCCCTTTGATCAATAGTGAGATCACACATGGATGTACCGGCAGAAGCACAAATGGGAAAGGGAAGCTCAGCTCCAGAATGTGCAATTATTCCCGTGAAGACAAATTACAGCCCATTCCACAGGGAAGCAGTCTAATACAATCAGCCTGCATGGCTAACGTGCCTAGGAAATGGTGACAAATAATAGCTCAGCATCGGCTTCCACTCTGGAAATTTGGACCCTCAATGGTGGCAGTCGCTAGATCAGCGACAGTGAGAGGAAGTCCACTTTGTTGCCATCATACATCAGCTCTGTCCTGCTTCCTCTGATCTCTGTCCCTGAACCTCTGTCCATGCAGACATACCTAGTCTTGGTTTTTTTTGATGGTGATGGGTTTAATTTACTTAATAGCAAAAATGGCAAACTTTATGAAGTAAATTGTTAAAAAGTTGTGTGAACTCTTTCTTAGAGGGGCTTGGAGGATGATTATTATGCTCAGTTAAAAGACTCACAATTCATCTGATCATCAAACTTTTTTTTTTTTAGAAGTAGGAATACTTGTAGACTTATTTTGATGAATGGACAATATTTTTTTTCCATAATTTTATTGAGAAACAAATAGCAGTGAGACAGTTTCAAACCAAATTGGTAGGACAGTTTCAATAATTAACACATTGCATACATTCTCCCTAGTGGTTAATTGCTGTACAAGATGTGGACATGATATCCTATTTACAAAC